TCAGGTAGGACTCAGGTAAGACTTATGTATGACTCAGGTAGGACTCAAGTAGGACCCAGGTAGGACTTATGTAGGACTCAGGTAGAACTTATTTAGGACTCAGGTAGGACTCAGGTAGCACTTATGTAGGACTCAAGTAAGACTTATGTAGGACTCAGGTAAGACTTATGTAGGACTTCTGTAGGACTCAGGTAGGACTTATGTAGAACTCAGGTAGGACTTATGTAGGACTCAAGTAAGACTTATGTAGGACTCAGGTAAGACCTCAGTGAAGGATAGGATACACTGAGCTCAGTGGCGGGCCGTGCATTTTATACCTAGGCCTTTACTGTTGTCCTGCAGCTGAAATACCACATTATAACCACATGATGGCACCACATATATTATCAGTTTCTAAGGCTGTAACTATGTACGTATTAAATGTACGTACCGTTCGGTACGAGAATTGCAATACGTTTGAATAGTACTAGAGCATCTGGAAAATGCAGAAGCTTATATTCAGGAGAATATAATGTTTTCTGCGCTCATGGAGGACAGTGGTTCTCAGCTGGTCTGGCTGTGGGACCCACCATCACTCCTTAATGACAAGTCGCAGCCCAAAGAGATTGTCTTATGATTTTACTTTCACAACTTGAGCATTGTACGTATTGCTCTGCAGTGTCTTTCCTCGTCTCAGCCACCTGTGTCATGGTGCATCTCACTCAGTCAGAATGCCCATATTTGATTGGCTGAGCTGCATCACGTGATGTGATTCACTACCCGACATGCCTCTGCTGTTAAGTTTCACGATAGTCACGTGCTCGCCCACTGACCAATCACAGCGCACTCTGCACCTCGCGGCAGACACTGAGCTGCACTAATGCTGACTTCATTATAGGCCAGCGAGCAGGCTCTGATACGTCAAAGAATACGCCCAACATGTCAAACTAAAGATCTGATTGGTTGAAGACTATGACAATCAACAATATCGTCCCCATTCACTTAAACTGCACATGGATGCACTTGTGAGTCTGCAGGCCTAGGGCCTCTGTTCTTACCTAGAGACACAGAGGTGAGATCTGATTGGATAAAAGCTCTACTTAAAACAAGCTGCACTGGAAGCAGAGCAACTGAGGAAGACAGTAGCTGTGCAATGAGAACATAAGATAATGGGGAAAATATTTTTATAAATTGTAATACATGTAGTGTATTTAAGAACAATTATTAAACTATAAAATAGATATAGCTTTGTGATTCTGTTTAGGCCAGCAGAGAAGGCCTTGCAGGCCCTGACGGCCCACCACTGACTGAGCTCCTCTATCCTCTTCTCTCTCTCCTCTCTCCTTCTCTATGAATTTTTGTCCCATTAATGCACATTATTAACTTTGCTTCTTCCTCAGAGTCTTTTGTTTTCTCTCCTCACAGGTTTCCATGGATCCTGGATTTATCTGGACCCTCGTCCTGACACCCACTGCTATATCATTAGGGCCCGAGCACCGACGTAGTCGGAGCAGAGGACCTATTGTTATTCTAATGTTTATTATTGCACGTGTTTCGTCCCAAAAAGGGTTAGGGTTGCCGTGGCGACGCATCCTTCGTCATGAAAAACTAAGGTGTTTTTGAGGGGCTAAACATGCTCAAAACATAATCAAACTTGTCACACACATTTAAAATCCTGAATGTAGTTATGTAATGTGATTTTAATGCTTCAGAGTGGCAAGTCAGCACGATAGCGCCCCCTACAATATTTCTATGATGCAGCCCTCGCAGTATGTTTCACCTAGATGTATGAAATTTGGTAAGCAGGTGTATCACATGTAGACTTAAAAAAAGTCTTAGGGGTCTAAGCTCTAAACCCAACCGGAAGTCAGCCATTTTGAATTTTGTATGAATTTCTCGTGTTTTTTTCCATTTCCAGGTGCTGTACTACGAACTCCTCCTAGGGAATTAATCCGATCAGCTTAGAATTTGGTCAGAACAATCTAAAGACCTTAGCGATTAAAAGTTACTAAAAGCTTTAGGTTTCATCGAACGACGTGGATATGGTGTGATGGCCATTTTACATGGTTCGCCATCATCCATCAAGCTGTTGTAACTCGACTGTAACTCGACTGTACTTTGTCAAAACTGTCCCAAACTTGACATGCTTGTTGACTGTCATGGCTTTAGGACTTCTGCATGCCAATATTAACTCATAGTCATAGCGCCACCTACTGATAAGCACGGACGTAAGCAGGATTCTATAAATACAGCGGCCCAAACACTGAACTTATTGAAAGGGTTTGTGGGCACACCATGAGAAAAATACTTCTCTGATCTAAATATGTGCAAACTAAGATGCTTGGAGAGCAAACGTTAGATAACAGTGGATTTTCAAACCATGTCAGTGGGCATTAGTATAAATGATCTGTCCAGAGCTTCTTCATGACAATCAGGTTAAACGTTATAATGAATGCTTCACACTACAATCTAAAGTTACAGAAGAGCTTAAAATGAAAACAGTGTTAAATTACAGTGTTCAAGTAACAGCAAATGGCACTACTGTTTTGTTAACTTTCATGTAAGTCCAAATACAATCAGCAGGACACTGCAGGGAGTTGAACCCCATCCCAGTAAAGTGACAGTCTGTTATGTTGCAAACACTGAAGCACATTCACACACATTCATTTTCTTAATGATCTTTAAAGGCTTACATTTATGATTGTATCGGAGGTACACTCTAAACATTTGAGGCTTAAGACCTGGCAACATGATCTTGCTACGCTGCTGGTCGACACCTGAAATATCATCTCACATTCACAGCTGCGTCACCCAGAGTCCTTTCAGTACCCTCGACGTGCGTGAAGTTGCGAGGGCCCGATCAATGCTGCTCGCAGCTTTAATTATCATTAGAATTCTACTATATCCACTGCTGCTGTTATTACTAGTAGTCATAATGTTTCCATCATTATTCTGCTTACTACTGTTATTATATGAATCATTTCTCTCATATGCATTGAATGTGTTGTAACTGTGTTGTTCATTCTGTACACATGACATCACACTTCTGTCCATCCTGATAGAGGAGGAGGATGATTATGATGAGGATCCTCCTCTGTTGATCTCTGAGGTCTCTTCCTCTTTTCTCCCAGTTAAAGGGATTTTGGGGAGTTTTTCCTGTTCTGATGTGAGGGTCAAAGGTCAGACGATGTCGCACGTGTTCAGATTGTAAAGCACTCTGAGGCAATACAAAATAAATTGAACTGAATTATCTTGCACATATTTGTCTCTGTAGGCAGCAGGTAAGTCGTTTCACTGATGCTAAATAATTACAAATGACTAAAATATGAGTTCTGTCTTTCCTGAGAGAATTAAATCAGGAAAAAGAGAGCTTTATTATGGTGTCGTTTGTGTTTCCTTGGTGACTACTAGTAGGAGTCACTGATGCGCCTCATGCTCATGAACCTCATGCTGCTCATGTCCATGTTCATGACGTTCCTGTACTCTCCAGGCCTCATGTACATCATCCTGCCTCTGTACTGAGGCTGCACGTACATCAGCCAGTGACCGTCCATCACGTGACAGGACATGCAGTTGGACATACGGTAATGATCCATCACATTGTTGCAGTCGTCCATCAGCTCGTTACTCTGGCCTCCGAAGTTCTCCCTCTCGTAGATCTTCATCCTGTACGAGCCGCGGTGCTGAAACAACAATCAATAATCAGAGGTTGTTACAACACCTGTACTCTTCTGTGTACTGTGTTCAAACACACGGACACCCAGAGAAACTGTACTATCAAAATCAAATTCCTTAAAACATCATCAGCTCATCCAGAAAGATGAGATGTCTGAACAAAACCCTGAAACATCTTTTAATGAAACAACATGGACGATTTAAGGAGAGAATATCTTTCTTCCTACTTTACAGTTGACAAATACATTAATTCTCAGTGTGAGCTTTTATTGTGAAGGAAGCTCAAAACATCCTAATTTTCCACTTTAATTAGCTGCTGCTGACACTTGTTTGCCTGCTACACCAGATCAATACATTGATTAATGGACATATTCATTGATTATTATATACGAAGCTTCATATATAGATTTTAATCTCCAGCGTTTAAGGAGTTTTAATAGCCTGGATTACATTTGTTTTCATATCATGTGGCCGATTTAAAATATCAGATGATCCATAACATGTGAGAGGTTTTACAGATGATTTAGTTCTTTTCTTAGAGAGTCAACAGGAATGACTGGATGTCAGTGATTTGAAGAAGATATATTCTACTTGTTTTATGAAAATGTTTTTATAAACTACTTAATATAAATAGTATTGGATGTAGTCTATAATGAACTTCTATACTTCACTGTAAGTTATGAAATGATCCTAAAACCTAACATGTTTACTAAACACACAGCTGTGACGACACTAACACTACTACACACTATGATGTCATAGGACGGCGATGTGTGTCACTTCATCTGTACTGTTACGGTCACGTCTGAAGTATATTTCAGCGCCGTGCTGTGATTGGTTGTGTGGTTACCATGGGGATCATGCGACAGGACCTGATGCAGTCGCTCATTCCCATCATGCTGTGGTAGTCGGAGTACTCGCCCCTTCTCAGGAAGAACTGGTTCCCCGTGAAGTTGGTGCGGTCGTAGACCATGAAGCAGCCTCTCTCCACCCTGCAGGACTGACACCTGCTCAGGTAGGACGACATGTCGGCACAGTCGCTGCTGCACTCGTAAGACCGGCCCTGGAAGTTCCTGTCCTCGTAGAAGGCCACCTGACAAGGAGACAGGAGATCAAACGGGAGACAGAAGAAAGAGACCGGAGACATGACGCTCATCTTTCTGTCAGGATGAAAGAACAAATCCTCACAACTGGAGGTTTTCTTTTTTTAGAGGATGTGACTTCACAAGATCCTAATGTTCTTACAAGATCTCATGAACATGTTTCTTATTGCTGACGTTCATGTAAACTAAAATAACTAAATAAGGTGAATAAAGGCGTTAGTTAAAAGCTACAAAGCGTTTAGAAACAGTGACTTATGTCTGTGTTCAGTGTTCCTGTTCCTGTCATGTTGGTCGCTCGTTCTCACCCTGCTCATGTTCATGCTGCTGGAAGTCATGTTGCCTCTCTGGTTGCTCAGCTGGTTGCTGATGTTGCTGCTGTCTGTGGTGGTTGAGTGCTACCTGTGGAGCAGCTGCTACTCTTTATAGCACCTGAGCAGCTGAATCCTTTTGTCCAAACAGCCTGAGCCAGCAGGGCGTCATAAAGAGACGCTCAGCGTTCGGCGTTTCTCTTCGAAACTACAGACAAAGAGCTACAGACAGCAGCTGTGTGTCTCCTTCGGTCCTATCTTCACCCGATTCACTCTACACACCACTCTGGAAAGTGTCACACTATGACATACATTCAAAAAGTACATATATACGTATAAATAAATATATATTTATATATATTTATATATACATACGTGCATATACATTGATAGATATTTCAAACATTAATCTGGAAATATAAATAATCTGAAGACAATAAAAGTGACAGAATGTGTCATATACATTTAAAATCTTAAATTGTAACAAATTATTATTAAACAACATATAAATATATACACATATATATACATTTAAATGTATATAGTGTATATATATATATATATTATATTATATTATATATATGTATAAATACGTCGACAGTAAATACTCTGAAACAAGCAGGCAGAATAATTATTAAAAACGAATGACATCCTTCAATTATTTATCAGATGCCATTTTTCTTTTCACAGGAAAACATATATATCTACAGTATATATACTAATATATATATATATAATTAGTATAACCCATCTTCCGGTGTGTACTGTCTCTTTAAATGTTTGAAACCGTAGCGCGCGGCCTCTTTCCCGCTGACGTCACAGTCGCATGAGGTAAACAAGATGGCGGCGGTGTTGGAGCGTAGCTTCATCGAGATCTGCGGATTTGAGAGAGAAACTCTGCACAGATTCAGAGATGTGACCGTAAATCTTCCAGGTAAACGATCCGGTCAGCTCTGCTGCCCGTCTCTCTCGTGTTGTCTGTGCTCAGGCTGCTGCTGTTAGCACTCAGGACATGCTAACAACAGCTAACAACGGCTAGCACCGCTAACACGCTGTATGCTAGCTCACATAGCGCTGAATGCTAGCTAACAGCTAATAGATAGATGTTACTTTATTAATCACGCGAGGGGAAATATGTTCGCAACAGCAGCATTTATGGTACAGGTAAATAAAGTAACAGAGTAAAAATATTAACTATAAAAATGCTCAATATATAGTAAATAGAATAATATTAAATTAACTAACTAAACAGTAGTGCAGAGATTTAGCCAAACAACAGTGTAGCAGTGTTCTGTTATATGTGTGTCTAGTGGATGATTTATTATGAAGTCTTATTGCAGAATGTTCTCCTGTATTTGGATCAGGCTGTCCCTGCAGTAGGTGGTCCTGGTTATCCAATCTGGAGAATAGTTTCTCCAGAGTCCTCCTCTCCACCACCTTCTCCAGACAATGATGGAGCCTTCTTAACCAGTTTAAGTCTTAAGCTGTGATACTCCATTATTTAGTTTAGGAACAAGAGTACTGTTAATGATGTCAGTGTTATATTTTCTATTATATTCATATTGTTGGGAAGAATTATTATTAACTTATCGCCAATAGATACCGTAATACCATAATAACCTTAATAATAGTTATATTAATGTCAGAACAGCAGCTCCAGATGTCACATTTAGTGTTAGTAAGTTCACTTTAACTAGTAACGAGTAAAATACCATCATAAGTAGAAGTATTATCAGAAATCTGTTTGAAGTATTATAATTAAGAGTACTCATGTTACTGAAGTAGAAGTATTATCAGAAATGTATTTCCAGTATTATTTATAGAGTATTATTTACAGTATTGCTTCCAGTATTATTTACAGTATTGCTTCCAGTATTATTTACAGTATTGCTTCCAGTATTATTTACAGTATTGCTTCCAGTATTATTTACAGTATTGGTTCCAGTATTATTTACAGTATTGGTTCCTGTATTATTTACAGTATTGGTTCCTGTATTATTTACAGTATTGCTTGCTGTATTATTTACAGTACTGTTTGCTGTATTATTTAAGTACTGCTTGCTGTCTACAGGTGCTCTCCCTGGAGGACTGAAGTTCCCCGACAGTGCCGGAGCGTTTCATTATGAAGACAGTGGGAAGCTGCTCTCAGTCACCAGCAACAGATTCATCCACTGGTGAGATACTCCGATCATCTTCATATAGATATGATGCATTAATCTATCATCTATGTGATTATTGATTAATGTATCATACATTCATATATAATCACATAGATTATAGGGTTGTCAAAACTATTGGTATTATTACATTATGGGTGCAACGGATCACAAAGCTCACGGTTCGGGATCATTTTTCTGATCAGCAAAGGGTTAGGGTTAAACCCTAACCCTAGCCAAATATAACTAAAGAACTTCAAGAACACTTAAAGCAAATAACTTTGGGCTAT